TAATAAAAAAAAAACCAAACAACACAAAAACAAAACCTTCCAGGGAGAACTTTTCCATTTGCCTACGCTGCTTGGGAAATTCCTACTAAATGTGCATGCCTCATTCTCCTAGAAATGTCCATTTCCTTATGTATTCACAGTGTCTTGCAGAGAATAGATAAACATGTCTCCACAATATGAATTGCCGTGAAAACAAGACAAAGAAGAATGCAATTAAAAGATGCCCGTCATGAAGACGTCTTCACTAGCTGGGACCCAGTAGCCTTTAGATCTAACTTGATTCAGTCGCTAATCTGTGGCACCGAGTCTCATGGTTTCTACACACTTCCACCTAGTGTTTCAAGTAAACTGAAATATGGACGTCTACTCTTACATGGGAAGGAATGGAGCTTTCTAGCCTGTGAGGTGACATACATCTACAAGCCACACGCTCTACTTGCTGGAGTCGAGCTGATGTCCAAGGGGCGTCAGGGTCTCGGTTTCAGGTTTTTTCCTCTGTGCCCTTGGCACGGCTACTGCCTCCGTGCCCTGCCTTGGCCTTAGAGGGTGGAGTGATAGGCCAGTCTGGGCAGACGGTGCCCGAGGGGTGGGATGCAGCCGTGCTACAGGGCAGTACATGGCACCAGCTCCACGGACACAGGGGCCTGGCGAGTGGTAGGAGGGGCCCGCAGGAGGAGAGAATTTCGCCGGGGAGTGGCCTCTGCTCAGGTGGAGAGGCTGCAGGAAGTCAGCCAGGCAGAGGGAAGAAGGGCAGCCCTGCAGGCGGACTTGTAGGGTTGGAGGCAGAGGGCCAGGGAGGTGCACTCCAGAGGGGTCATGCAGGAGAGAGAAGCTGAGCCTGCAGCTGCCTGGCCATCAGTGGAGTGGTCTGTGTGGCCAAGAGGGCAGCGGGCAGAGAAGAGGAAATGCTAAGATGATGGAAAGGTCTAAATGCCAAGGGTTGGGAAACTGGGGATAACCAACAGGAGAGCATGGGAAGCTGCGGGTGACCAATAGGAGAGCGTGGGGAGCTGGGGGTGACCAATAGGAGAGCGTGGGGAGCTGGGGATAACCAATAGGAGAGCGTGGAAAGCTGGGGGTGACCAATAGGAGAGCGTGGGAAGCTGGGGGTGACCAATAGGAGAGCGTGGGAAGCTGCGGGTGACCAATAGGAGCGCGTGGGTAGAGCCAATTCCAGGGTGGAGACCTGATGGGTTTAGCCACCAAGGGTGGGGTTGTGTTGCCTGGAGACGCAGCAGCGGTGGAGATGTCATTGGCTAGGGGTTGGCAACTTTCTCTGGAGAGGATCTTGCAGCAAATGTTTAGGTTTTGGGAGCTGTGCGATCATTTTTGTGGCCACTCAGCTCTGCTTTGCCCTGTAGGAGAAACCACAGCTTGCCCAGCCATCCCGAGGGCAGCCAGGTGCCAATGGCTTTCTATGCATAGCATGGAAGCAGAATTTCACATAATTTTATATATCAGGACATATTATTTGTCATTTGTGTTTTTCTTCAACTCTTTAAAAATGTCAAAGCTATTCTTAGCTCACCATGCAGAACAGGCTGAGTAGGCCTTGGCTTGGAGTTCCCAGGAGAGGGCAGGGCCCAGATGCCTGAGTGGGTGCTCAGTCCTCCTCCCCTAAGCCCCTCCATCACCCTGCATGGATTCCTATTCCCTATAGACAATGTGAAACCCCTTCTTCAGCAGCCCCAACAGCTGTCCCTGTTCTTCCTTCTCGTGGGTCTCAGTCTTGACCTCCCAGACCACTGGCTGTGCTCACCAACCTGTGTGTTTGCCTACGTTTGCATAATTTCTGCTCAAACTCTATGATCTCATTTAAAGTTTGTCACTTGGGTAAAGTTCACGCTAATCTTCCCGGCAGAGGGACTCCTCACATCACTGGGCAACAGTGTGTGCTTCACTATCTTGTGTGTCCTGAGGGAAGGAATGATGGACTGACAGATGGATAGGCAGGCAGACAGACACACAGACACACAGACAGACACAGATTGGCAGGTGGACAACAAGCACTCGTGCTGTGTCTGGAAGGATGCAGGTGGTGAAGTGAAGGTTTTGAAGGTTTTGCGAGTGGTTTGATCATAGCTGGTGTGATTTAAGGGACGATTCTCCAAGGCTTCAGAGAAGGTCCTGTGTTCTATTTCATTCTGTATCTCTATGGCCCTGACCTGTGGTTGCTAAGAGCTATACGTTTCTCTCTTACAAGAAGCCCATTTCTCTGCCTCTTTTTAGGAGCAATGACTCAATTCTGAAGCAAGTCTTGGCAAAGATACATGGGAGGGTCACTGCAAATGGCAGTCACTCCACGGTCAGAATCTCCTGCCCGGTGCCCAGGTGTGGGGACAGGTCCCCTTGGATCACACTCCCTCAGCAGCCCTACCAGCCAGTTTTGTCCCAGTGGGCACTTTCCAGGACACTTTTAAAATCTGTCAGATGAGTCTAGTGAAAAGGAAACAGAGTGTCACTAAAAGCCCAGACTTCACCACCACACAATATATCCACATAATACTTGTACCACTAAAATTTATATGCACACAGATAAGCATATGGTAAGCTTGTTTTCTCAATAAATTGTGGTAAGAGGCTGCATTTCCTTTGCCCTGTTTTCCTGAAGCCCTAACATCGAGCTTTCAGCCTGTCTGCTCCATAAATCCTGGTTTCTAGGGGTTCGGCTGCAAAGCATGGCTCAGCCTTACTCTCCACAGCAGGGATGCTGCCCAGCATGGGGAGGTCAGTGGCAGTGACTAACAGGTGATGGCTCATCTCATACAGACACAGAGAGCACCTCACACCGTCCCATCTCCACTCAGCTTCACGGCAGCCTCGTGAGGTCAGCAGAGGACGTGCTTGCTTCCTCTCTGCTCCCGAGAAAACCCATAGTGCACAAGGCTAATGTGTCCAGCAGCATCTGGCTCCTAAGAACGGCACCGAGAATATGCTCCGTGGATTTGACTTTGGGTCCACTAAAGGCACCGTGATCTAAGACGGCTCTGCTGGTCATGACTTTACCCAGAAGCCCCCTTTCTTCTCAGGCTGGAGTCTGACCAGGACAATAAAGCTAAAGAAAGAAATCAGACTACCTAGAACAAGAACAACAAAATCAGGTGCGTGAAAATGGGCATCTAATGAAAGAATTGATAGAATCCCGGTAAAATGTCCATGAACTGGAAATCATAGAAACAGTCTTCAGTTACAAGAACTTAATTTCTTTTGATCTTTCACGTGTAGATGAACAAATGAAATTACAAGAACCCTGAAATTATCACAACAAACAGAATTGAGTCATTGCTCCTAAAAAGAGGCAGAACTATTTCTTTTACACCCTACAGTCACCGTTTCCCCCCCATTTGTCTGTGTTTCTGATCGATACATGATACAACAAAGAAATACTGAATTTCATTCACTATACGAATGCATTGTTATTAAAGCAAGAAATACCATAGCTTAGAAAGATGTACAGCAATGCCTGTAGAATGATAAAAATGGTTTCGGGACTCCCCAAGCATTCAGTTTAAACATTGGGTGTGTATGTGCACTGTGATTTTAACTGCATATCTTTTCCTTTGTTTTTGATACAGAGCTTTGCTCTGCCGCCCAGGCTGGAGTGCAGTTGTGACATGTCTCAGCTCGCTTCAACCTCTGCCCCCCAGGTTGAAGTGATTCTCGTGCCTCAGCCTCCGAGCAGCTGGAATTACAGGAATGAGCCACCATGCCCAGCTTATTTTTGTATTTTTAGTAGAAACAGGGTTTTGCCATATTGGTCAGGCTGGTCTGGAACTCTTGGCCTCAAGTGATCCACCTTCCTCAGCCTCCCAAAGTGCTGGGATTACAGGCGTGAGCCACTGAGCCTGGCCCTAAGTATCTTTTTCAAAGAAAAGCTTGATAACCTTTTTAAAAAACTGATTTCCTTCCCCTGTGCTAGATAGCATCATGGTAAGACTTCTAAATCATCAGAACATTTACACCCCAAGTCCCAATTGGTAAAATTTGGCAATACGTCCATATAGCCTAGAACTTAAAGCACACACATTTAGAGAAATAAATAAAATTAAACAAACATAGTCTTCCCCTCTAATGAAAAACTACTTACCAACTAGCTTTGTAGTGAAATGGTAACTAGCTCACATTCTTGGTGGTGGTTCAGATAAGCACTAGCCAACATGAACCACCCTTTCCCGTGGAGCCCGTGGCATTACATCTGCTGCGTGAGCTCTATTTTGTTGGTGCCACAGTAGCCACAAGCCAGCAAGGAGCAAATGGCCGCATCGGCCGTACCAGGCCAGGCCTTGCTTCTCTCCATTGTCCCCTGGGGTCCCAGGTCCTGGGCTTGCTGAGAAGAGGCTGGGGGATGGGAGGCCACTAGCCCTGGCTGCACGGGGAGTCATGGCGAGCTTCTCAAAAATGCCATCATGCAGGGAGCACCCAGGGTCCTCATTTCATTGGTCTGGAGGGCAGGTTGGGCATGAGAATTTTTAAAAAACCCTCCCCAGATGGGTCTCATGTGCATGCAAGGCTGAGAACACCGAGGAGATGGGTACAGAGCTCCTCAAAGCTCCCAGAAGCCCAGGGCCATCTGCTGGCTGCCCCCCCCCCGCCCCCCCCCCCCCCCCCCCCCCCCCCCCGCCACTATCTGTCTTAGGGCCATTTATTTAAAGGAAGCCTATTAAGATAAGGGCACTGTCTTCCCAGGACCACAAAACACAATGAGCCAGTCCGTGGCTTGTCCTGCTGCATAGTCCAGGAGCAGCTGAGTGCGCTGTCTCAGAGTTACAGAGGGGAAACCATCTCATCTCCCTCCTTCCCCCGAGGTGAGGTTTTGCTCACCTACGGCTGTGTGGGCCTGGGGGGCTTTCAGCTCCTGGGCTGTGCTACGAACACCGTGCTCTCTGGGTACCCTTCAAGTGACCACCAACGCTCAGCTAAGTTGTAGGACATTGATATACACAACAACAACATCAGCAATGGCAACGTGTCTCTCATGTATAAGAGTGTGCACCTCCTACCATCATCATATCCTTTGGGGGATATATCCCTGGTTTGCACCTTGGGAGCTATGGCTCGCTTGCCATAAGTATGGTTGTCGTAACTGTTGTATTCAAACGAGGTCTTGGAATACTTCTCGAGCTCCTTGGCCAGGTTGGAACGCGGCGTAGTTGTGGGGACATTGTTTCTGTAGCCATACTGAGGAATCTCCAGCTGCTTCACAAAGCACATTGGCCTGGAAGTGAATGAGACAACAAATAATAGCTCGCTTTCTTGTGGCTTTGCACACGACCAGCTTCACGTTAAAACTAGAATATTTTACTTTTAAAAATGTGTTAGAGAGTCAGAACATTTCACTAAAACGACAACTTTTTTATTTTCTGAAGAAAAGACAAAGTGTGTTTTAATTATATAGCACCAGATAAACTGCCTAAAAGTCAACTTGGGCAATAAAAAAAGACAAGAAATAAAATATTTGAATATGCCCCCTTTTCATTCTTTCTTGTAAGAGGTCTGGTGGTGGCATGGTGATGACATGAGATACAAGGACGGGGATATCTCAGTCGTGAAGTTTCTTTGCAGTGGTTACAAAGAGTTGCTGAATTACACACAAAGACATTGCCTCAGTAAGAAATCCCCCTTAAAAAATAAGAGGAAGTGGGCCAGGCGTGGTGGCTCATGCCTGTAATTCCCAGCACTTTGCGGGGCCAAGGCGGGTAGATCACAAGATCAGGAGTTTCAGACCAGCTTGGGCAACATAGTGAAACCCCATCTATACTAAAAGTACAAAAGCTGGGCGTGGTGGCAGGTGCCTGTGACCCCAGCTACTCAAGAGGCTGAGGCAGGAGAATCATGTGAACCTGGGAGGCTGAGGTTGCAGTGAGCTAAGATTGTGTCACTGTGCAGCAGCCTGGCAACAGAGCAAGATTCCATCTCAGAAAAACAAACAAAAAATACATAAATAGATAAGAGAAAGTAAAGAAATACTCTTGGGACACAGACAGAACCAGATCGCATGTACCTAACAGGATAATGAGGTAGACTGCGTGGTAAGATGCCTCGTCAAGTACTAGACTATGCAGTGTTTTTACCTAGTGGCTGTTTCTTAGTGTCTTTGGAATAAAATATTCAATAGGAAGGACACCGGGTAGTTGCTCACTCATAGACACTGTATCTTGCCTGTGTGTGTGTGTGTGTGTGTGTGTCAGGTCCACCTCTTCATCTGTCTAGCTCATAAGTGAAATTTTTAGACTTTTTATTTGAAATGATTTTAGACTTGCAGAAAAGTTGTACAGAGATTTTCTTCATGCTCTGCCACCAACTTCTGCCAATGTAACCACCTTCATAACCGTAAGATAAGAGCAAAACCAGGCGATCAACATTAGTGACGTTCTTTCCTGAACTATACGCTGTGCTTGGATCTGCCCAGTTTTCCACTGATGTCCTTTATTTGATGCAGCCATGCAGGGTCCCACAGTGCACTAAGGGTCCTGTGTCCTGTCCTTTCCTTGTGACACCTCCTTGGTCTCACTGGGCTGGAGGCTTCATGGACTGAATACTGAAGAGCTAGTCAGGTTTTGTAGAACCAGATACAGACAGATTCTTTTTTATTTTTTGAGACCACATCTTGGTCTTGATTCCCAGGCTGGAGTGAAGTGTTGCTATCTCAGCTCACTGCAACCTCCACCTCCCGGGTTCAAGCAATTCTCTTGCTTGAGCCTCCTGAGTAGCTGGGATTACAGGCACCTACCACCATGCCCAGCTAATTTTTTTATATTTTTAATGGAGACAGGGTTTCACCATGTTGGCCAGGCTGGTCTCGAACTTCTGACATCAGGTGATCTGCCCACCTCGGCCTCCATAAATGTTTGGATTATAGGCGTGAGCAACCACGCTTGGCTGTAGATGCATTCTTAATCCTAACATCCTTAATCATCTGACATCTTTGTATTTTTCTCAAGCGATTCTCCTGCCTTAGCCTCCCAAGCAGCTGGGATTACATCATGAGTCACCATGCCTGGCTACTTGTTTTATTTTTAGTAGAAACAAGGTTTTGCCAAATTGGTCAGGCTGGTCTCGAACTCTTGGCATCAAGTGATCCATTTTCAAAAAAATACTTACAGACCTTTTCACATCAGCATTATTTTACACACTGTAAAGCTAACAAAATATCAAATTTTAAAGGCAGAGAGTTTCCTATTGAATTTTTGTCATTCTAAACTACATAAAATGTATTCTGAATAAAGACCCAAAACAAGGTTGATAGCTTAGTAGGAAAAAACAAAAGGTGGTGAATTCATGTATTAGTGTTAGGTTCACAGCCAGCCTAGGAAGGACAATCTTTTTTTTTTTTTTTTTCTTTGAGAGGAGTTTTGCTCTGTTGCCCAAGCTGGAGTGCAGTGGTGTGATCTCGGCTCACTGCAACCTCCACCTCCCTCTTTCAAGTGATTCTCCTGCCTCAGCCTCCCGAGTAGCTGGGATTATAGGCTCTTGCCACCACACCCAACTAATTTTTGTATTTTTAGTAGAGACGGGGTTTCACCATGTTGGCCAAGCTGGTCTCCAACTCCTGACCTCAGGTGATCTACCCGCCTCTGCCTCCCGAAGTGTTGAGATTACAGGCATGAGCCACCACGCCTGGAGGAGGACAGTAATTTTGAGTAAGATTCTATTTCTTGAGTACTAGTATCAGTAAGATCTTCTACTACTGCCTGTACCTCTAGCACAGTGGGAAATTTTAGCAGATGTATGAAATTATAATACCAGCAGGTACAAATGTGTACTGCTTAGGAAGGAAACTCTTTTAACAACAGATGTGCAAACAATATCCTGACTGTTCTCCCTGGGGATGGAAATCTGGGGGGTTTTGATTTGTTTTCTTATTTTACACAAGTATTGCTTGTGTGTCTGAATAAATATATTTCCTCGTGAGTCCTTGCTTTCTAAAGGTGACTCGCTCAGGTATGCCAGGATCATCCACACTTGCCTTGCAGATAACAGGTTTAAAACTACTGTCTTGCTTTTTTTTTTATGATTATTTTTATGATTAAGTTTTGCTTTTTAAACTATTTTATATGCTGATTATTTCTTTTTTACCAATATGATTTTTATAAACATAATTATATTACATTGCAGAGTACAGTGCGATGTTTTGACATCTGTATACAATGTGAAATGATTAAATCAAGGAAATTAACATATACATCACTCAGTTTTTGTGGTAAGACATTTGAAATTTGCTTTCTTCTTACTTTTAAATATACAATACAATATTATTGATTCTATTGTTGTGGAACAGATTTCAGATTATGTCCTTCCTGTCTCGCTGAGAAATACTGTCTTAGACCAGACCTCTCCATCCCTCACCACCGCCACCGGAAGTTTTGCTTTTTTATGATTCAGTGAAATAATATTTAGAAGATACAGAAGTTATTTTTAAAAAAGATCACCCATAGGTCTACTAGAGACAAAAACTGTTAAGGTTTTGGTGTGCTTTTTATGATTAACTTAATGTGTTTTATATTTACTTAGTTAGAATGTTACTGTTTTGTGTATTTTACATTTCCATTTTATATGATATTTAATTTTCCTTTTTGTTTCTCATGCTTTAAAAACAGTTTTAACAGCAGAGTGATATTGAAATCAATGAATATTATGCTATTTAACTATTTTCCAATTTGTGTTAATTTTGTTCTGTTATAAACTGTGACTTAATAGGTACCCATGTAGACAATTCTTTTTACTCCTATTATTTTATAAATTTACGTTGGTTTTGGTGCCGTTACAAAGTTTTGATAACTGATTTTTTTCTTAAACGAAAGTCAGATTTTAGACTGATAGCCATGTCTATGCCACCTTTATAACAACACAGTAATGGTTAAATACCCAAATTATTTACCAAATCACCAGTACATTTATTTTCATTTCATTAATTTAGCCTATTTACTTCTTCTCAAATCAATAAAAGCAATAATAATTGTCTACTGTTCTTGAAGCATTCTTCCAGGCAATATGAAGGTGTGTAAAAAAGATTAGCCAGGCATAGTGGTGCGTGCCTATAGTCCCAGCTACTCAGGAGACTCAGGTGGAGGACTGCTTGAGCCCAGGAGGTCAAGGCTGCAGTGAGCTGGAATTGTGCCACCATACTCCAGCCTGGGCAACAGAGTGAGACCCTGTCTCTAAATTTTTTTTTTAACTAAAAAAAAAAGACCATGGGTGATCATTTTTCAATAGTCCAAAGGCTAGGAGAATTCTGGAGAAGGGAGAACGCCTCAGGCTATGAAATTGGGTTCCATTTGAGTGGAGAAGGTGATGTTTGGAGTAATACTGACTGTTACTTTCCTATTACAGAAGTAAGCTTTTACAGAATAGGCTGATTTTTAAGATTAAGATCCAGGGAGGGGTGAGAAAGCATTCCAGGAAAAGACACTCAGTGTCCAAAGGTGAGGAGGCAGGAACGCCAGGAGAACCCTCAGGGAATAGCAGGAGCTGGGCAGCCTGGGACGGGACCAGATCAGCCCACGGGCAATCCGCTTATTCACCTGGTGGGCAAGGCCAAGGGGTTTGGGCCTGGGAGAAGCACGACCCCCAAGACTTGAAAACATCAGGACCAGATCTGAGGGAGGGAGGAGGGGAGGAGAGGCTTCAGGTAGAGGGCCACAGGCCACACCCTCCCAGAGGCTGCAGGACAGGGCTGGAAGTGAGGGTATAGACTTGGCCAGGACTGGAAGCACCTGCTTAAGCCTCAGGCTCTTGTTCACTGAATGACTGATTTAAAGACTTTAAAAAATCGTAACAAGTTAAATGACCGTAGGTTTAACTTTGTTCTCTTTTCTTTCTTCCTGTCTCTTCCTTTTCCACTGAATGAGCACCCTACCTGGAGACCCTGTGGGGAATACGGAAGTGCGGGGACAGGGACCCAACCTCCAAGTGTCACACCCGGCATACCAGGTAAGCCCTGGGGGGCGGGGGTGGAAAGCTGGCAGGAGCCTCATGCGGGGCTGGTACATGGCCCAGCACCCAGCGCCTCCCTGGACATCCAGGAGTGGCTGTGGTTGGTCACGTGCATTGCTGGGCTGGCCAGAGCCCTCCCGCTGCAGAGCGTGGGGAGCTCTTTCCTCCTGTTAAAAGCCCTGTCCTGGCCTGGCTGGCAGCTGCCTCCTCCCCGCCTCTGCTCACTTGGCGTTTGGTGGGGCTGTTCTTTGCACCAATCCAGAGACAGGGATGCTAAGTTAGGAAGTCACAGGAGCCAGGCAGAGGCTCAGGTCGGGACATGAGAGTGGAAGCTGTGTTTGGACCAGGTGGTATTCACAACTACGGGCATGCCTCGTTGCACTCCGGCTGCCATGAGCTTCTCCCTGAAACCCTCACTCCGTGCAGCCCCCGGGAGCAGAGCAGCCCATAGGTGGATAGTGCTGTCACCGGGTGACTTCTGGAAGGGCCAAGTACAAGAGTTCTTCTAGATTCTCAGGGGTCTGGCCAAAGTAGGCTCAGGAAAATTAATAAAAGCCCTCACCAACAGATTTCTCCCTACCATTTTTCATATTCTCCTTTGATTAATAACTATCCCTCCTTCAATTACACAACCCCTCGGGGTTGTTTTCTTTCATTGGGTGGGGGTGATTTTCATACTGCCAACAATTAGCTGTGGGCTGGTGGGGAGAGGGAGGACGCCCTAGGACATGTTTAGCATTTGTTCTTGCTGTCTGGAAGATGGGTGCATTGCCGTGAAGGGGCAGCTCCCTGTGATGGGTCCTCTGGAGGCACTTTGGGCTGGGACCCCCAAATGTAGACGACTCTAGAGGTACCTGTGCCACAGTTTATTGAGAAGTTATCTCTGGATACTAGGGTCATACAGGGTTTTGTTTTTTTATTTTTGCTTAAATAAATATTCATAATTTTGTCTACAGGTTTTAACTTTTTGATTTAGGGAGGAAGGGAGTTTAATCACTATGTTAGAAACTTCTTGGGATGTTATAAAATAATATTCAAGAACAACAGAAAAAATTCATATTGCTTGCCCAATGATTTGCTTCAAGTGGTCCTAAAGAAATAATTTCCTTTTTTATTTTTTGAGACAGGGTCTCGCTCTGTCACCCAGGCTGGAGTGCAGTGGTGCAGTCACAGCTCACTGCAGGCCTGACCTCCTGGGCTTACGCAATCCTCCCACCTCAGCCTTCTGAGTAGCCAAAGAAATAACAGAGGCAAAGTGCTGTATATATGAAAAAAATGTTTATTATTGCCTCTCTTTAATAGTTAAGGCAGGAAACAGCCTAATGCCTCAAAGCTAGAACCTGGTTTTGGCACTGGGGGTAGCTCTCAACAGCAGAACATACGTAGTGTGAAGAGGACAGTTAAGGTCACTGCCTAGAGGCCGGGCATGGTGGCTCACGCCTGTAATCCAAGCACTTTGGAGGTCAAGGTGGGCGGATCACCTGACGTCAGGAGTTCAAGATCAGCCTGACCAACGTGGTGAAACCCCGTCTTAAAAAAAAAAAAAAAAAAAAAAAATCACTGCCTAGAGACAAGGATGCCGGTTTCTGGTGTGACGTTGGGTGAAAAGGCAGGATATAGCCAATTGTCATAGTTTTTACGTGGATGAGGATTTGAAGAGATGTAAAAGCGGAAGGGGAGCGTATCCTCCCAAAACTTAAATAAAACCGTGGTTTCAGCCGGATGATCTGTAAGGTGTTGGCCTTGTAACATTTGGGTCAGTTATGTAACCTCTCTGCACTCTGGGTTTTCTCACTTGCCATACGGAGGTGACACCACCGACTCCCACCTGCATCTCAGGACCTTCGAGGTAACAAACCTCTGCCAGCTTTGGACGTGAGACCTCCCCCACGGATGCGAGGGGTGCTCATTCCTCGGGCACCGTCAGAAACGTTAGCACCAGCCTGCAGGTCGGCGTGAGGCCCTCTCCTCCAAATTAGGAGAGAATTACTTTGGGCATCTCATTCATTTTCAAAGCTTCCCTTTCATGTAGCACTCAGAGTCACGAAACATCAGGGCCAGACACAAATGCAGAAATGATTTCCTCAGATTCTCTCATGTAAATCGTCACAGTGAGTCCGCAGAGACCAGCGGAGAAAGACGCCCTCACGCTCACACAGTCTGGCCTGGGGTGAGGGGTCCCGGCCGGCTTCCGCCACGTCCCCGCCCTCAGGCCCTGGTCCCCGCTGCTGTAGGAACGTCCCCAGCGCTCCAAGGTGTGGGGCGGGCTGCGGAGAGAGCTCGCGGGCGGCGCCCTCCTGCTAGTACCTGAGCACGCGGTCCGAGGCCTGGCTGGACTTGGACACGTCACAGCTCTGGTGCTTCTCCTGCGCCTTGGCCAGTTTCTCTGCTGCTGCAATTGGGCATCCGGAAAGGCTGCAATCACAGAAAGCGGGTTGAATGGTCCCAGCTCAAATGCCTTCACAGCACACCAGTCCCCCCCCGAGCACGAGGACCCCGATGTGGGTGAGCTGGCGGGGGACGGGGGGCTTCCCAAACCTGGCCTGGGCAATCCCGCTGGGTGGACTGGGAGAGGGAAGGTGCTCGGGACCTAGAGCCGAGAAGGCGGCGGCAGTGCGGCGTGCGAGGTGCGTTCAGCCCTTCCCAGCGAGCACGCCAGCGCCCGCGCGTTCCGGAGGACACCCCGGGGGAAACTGTCGACACAGATTCTACTCTGGGTGCTCGCCGTTTCTGGAGATGAAGAACTGACGGCCTGGGTGGGGTGAGTTTTTAAGCCCGAGAATGGCAATGCAAGGCTGTTACCGGAAGATGGAGCTCTAAGCTGATTTCCTAAATGCCACTGACCGTGGCCTCCAGGGTGGTCTGTCTAAGCCCATTTCCTAAATGCATTGACTGTGGCCTCTGGAGGCGGGAGGGGGGGGGGTCTGTCTGGCTTTAGCCCTTGGGTGTCCTCCAAGAGCAGGGAAACGAAAGCGGAGAGGACCACAGAATGATTTCTCGGACAGCAACGTGTGCTGGAGCCAAACGGTCCAGGCTCAGTCTAGATGCAGGAGACACCAGATGGGCTCTTTTGTGCTCATTTTACATGAATTCACCGTGTCTGCTCCGTGGGTGTCCACATGCAGATCTACTCATATGCACAGACGCTCACCCCATATATGTGTCATATCCCAAAAATACGCCTGTGCTGAGGTCTGACGGAGGCCCTGACGCTGCTGATGCCGCACGAGCAGCACCCAGCACTCAGCTCCTCAACCCACCCAGCACCTCCTGCCTCTGCAGATGAGACACCTGAACGCCTCTGGAGGGCACAGTGGCCATTTGTTTCATTATGAATTCAACACAAAGAATAAAGTTTGCCAGTCAGACAAGCACAAATTAGAGTAAAGCTTATGATAGTTTCCTTCTTTTAGATATAATTTTATGTGAACTCATAAAACCATAGACTGTAAGACAAACTTGAACAGAATTACTTTTCAGTGTCTGGAAAAAAAGTTGTCGGATAAGAACTGAATATCATGGGCAACTGAGTAGCTCCTATCAAGGCTGCACAGGACAAACAAAGAGAACCGAAATCTTTCACAAACAAAAGAGTGATTCCGCATAGACTTGTTCACAGCGGGAGTCCAGGGTCTGTTTCTCCCACCCAGCCTGCGAAACACCTGCAGGTTGGTCTGAAGATGTCTATACTGATGACCTGGGGTTTCCGCAAAATTCCAAGGGCAGCCATGCCAAGCTACACACTGTACAGGCTTGCTGCATTCCTGGTCATGTCCTGTCCAATGGGCACCAGAACAGCCCCGTCTACACCCAGGAGGACAGCCCCGTCTGCACCCCAGAGGACAGCCCCGTCTACACCCCAGAAGACAGCCCCATCTGTACTCCAGAGGACAGCCCCGTCTAAACACCAGAGGACAGTCCCATCTACACCCTGGAGGACAGCCCCGTCTACACCCAGGAGGACAGCCCCATCTACACCCCAGAGGACAGCCCCGTCTACACCCAGGAGGACAGCCCAGTCTACACCACAGAGGACAGCCCCATCTACACCCAGGAGGACAGCCCCGTCTACACCCCGGAGGACAGCCCTCTCTATACCCCGGAGGACAGCCCTCTCTATACCCCAGAGGACAGCCCTGTCTACACCCAGGAAGACAGCCCCGTCTACACCCCGGAGGACAGCCCCGTCTACACCCCGGAGGACAGCCCCGTCTGCACCCTGGAGGACAGCCCCGTCTGCACCCAGGAGGACAGCCCCGTCTGCACCCCGGAGGACAGCCCCGTCTGCACCCCGGAGGACAGCCCCGTCTAAACCCCGGAGGATAGCCCCGTCTACACCCAGGAGGACAGCCCTCTCTATACCCCAGAGGACAGCCCTGTCTACACCCAGGAAGACAGCCCCGTCTACACCCCGGAGGACAGCCCTGTCTACACCCCGGAGGACAGCCCCGTCTGCACCCAGGAGGACAGCCCCGTCTGCACCCCGGAGGACAGCCCCGTCTGCACCCCGGAGGACAGCCCCGTCTAAACCCCGGAGGATAGCCCCGTCTACACCCAGGAGGACAGCCCCGTCTAAACCCCGGAGGACAGCCCCGTCTGCACCCCAGAGGACAGCCCCGTCTAAACCCTGGAGGACAGCCCCGTCTACACCCTGGAGGACAGCCCTATCTACAACTCAGAGGACAGCATCATCTACACCCCGGAGGACAGCATTGTCTATACCCGGGAGCTCCCCGTCTACACCCCGGAGGACAGCGAAGGCGTGGCCTCCTTCCCTCCAGTCATCGTCAATGCTCATGGTTTCCACTCTTGAAACAATGCTCCGTGATGCTAAGTGGGGTGCGGCAACTAAAATCATCCCCTTTAGACCAAAAGCGTGGGGAGCACGTGCCCTTCTGTGCGTCATGTGGAGGTGCCCGCACTTCAGGGGGAGCACCATGGGGAGCACCGTAGGAGGCACCGAGGGGAGCACCATGGGGAGCACCATGGGGGGCACCGAGGGGAGCACCGTGGGGAGCGCCGTGGGGAGCACCGAGGGGAGCACCGAGGGGAGCACCGAGGGGAGTGCTGTGGGGAGCACCGAGGGGAGCACCCAGGGGAGCGCCGAGGGGAGCACCGTGGGGAGCACCGTGGGGAGCACCATGGGGAGCACCGTGGGAGGCACCGAGGGGAGCACCGTGGGGAGCGCCGTGGGGAGCACCGTGGGGAGCGCCGTGGGGAGCACCGTGGGGAGCACCGAGGGGAGCACCGAGGGGAGTGCTGTGGGGAGCACCGAGGGGAGCACCCAGGGGAGTGCCGTGGGGAGCACCGTGGGAGGCACCGTGGGGAGCACCGTGGGGAGCGCCGTGGGGAGCGCCGTGGGGAGCGCCGTGGGGAGCACCGTGGGAGGCACTGAGGGGAGCACCGTGGGGAGCACCGTGGGAGGCACCGAGGGGAGCACCGTGAGGAGCACTGTGGGAGGCGCCGTGGGGGGCGCCGTGGGGAGCACCGTGGGAGGCACCGAGGGGAGCACCGTGGGGAGCACCGTGAGGAGCACCGTGAGGAGCACCGTGGGAGGCACCGAGGGGAGCACCGTGGGGAGCACCGTGGGAGGCGCCGTGGGGAGCACCGTGAGGAGCACCGTGGGAGGCACCGAGGGGAGCACCGTGGGAGGCACCGAGGGGAGCACCGTGAGGAGCACCGTGGGAGGCACCGAGGGGAGCACCGTGGGGGGCGCCGTGGGGAGCGCTGTGGGGGGCGCCGTGGGGGGCGCCGTGGGGAGCACCGTGGGCGGCGCCGTGGGGGGCGCCGTGGGGAGCTCCGGGGGGAGCGTGGCCAGCCTCCCCGGGAGGGAGGAGACATGGAGAGTGGTCGACATGCCCCCCCACAGCGGCGCCGTGCTCGTGACTTACCTTCGGTGGGAGTTCCTGTTGCTGTTGACGTGCCCGCGCCCCGTGCAGCCTGGAGTGGGGCACTTGAGGACACTTTCGTGCATGGCAAGGACTTGACGGGGAGAGGCAAAGAGAACAGGCAGCGTTAACACAGAGGCACAGTCAGGACACACGAGAATGCAGTCATTTAACACAGGCCAGGTCGCTCAGGACAGACAGTCCTACAGACGTTTGTGATGGGCATGGTCAGGAAAACACACACGAGAGGAGAGAGAGGGTTGACTGGACCCTACGCTAGAGGCCTCGCGCTGCAGGGGCGCTGGACCCAGGAGCCGGGGAGTTCAGGGCACACAGAGCCGACTCCTTCCTCGGGGGCCAGAGGAGCCCGGGACTCCCAGACGTTTCCCACGCCTAAGCACTGAGGATTCTTTCGCCATAGAACAGCACAGAGGCTGCAGATGTTAAACACACGCCTGTGCTTTGGAAACACGCAGCATTATGAACGTGTGGTGGGCAGATGAAGAGAGAACCACAAACCTTCATTTTAAATAAAATGAAATAATCACTCTTCCTTTAGGAATCAGGGGCTTTATTATTCTTTAAATAGAATGAGCTAGAATAGTAAGCGTTCTGCGTTTTCACCCTGTGAAATTAACAAGTGGAAGAGGCCACGCGGACACTGCTTGTGGCGCAAGGAGGCTGCCGGCCGTTGGCAGGGGACAGCGGCTTGAACTTTCCCAGCAGTGGTGCTGGACCTGACTCATCTGTATCTTCCTTCTCCTCTGGTCCTTTGTGAACACTCCACTACCCTGGGTTCTGGGGGAAGGTCAGCAGGGATGAAGTCACACCTACATGGACCCCTTCTCCGTGATGCCTTCTCCTCTGAACCCGCTGTCTCCAAATGCCAGGGGAATGGGTGGCGGCTTTCCCTGCCAGCAAGGTTTACCTGAGGCCAGGTGGACATGGGAGGCTGCCCGCCCTCGGTATGGAATTCTATTCTACTCTTTTCCTCCTTCCCTAGAGCAGCCTCTCTCTTTCTCCTGCAGTCGGCTGGGCACTGAATCGCACGTCCATGCTATGACCCAAGTCCACGGCCTATCTCCTCACTGTGGGGCGGAGCCCCGACGGAGCCTGCTTCGGTGTTAGCCTTATAACTTCCGCAGGTCCTGCCTTGTCCTGCATGTGGGAGGTGCCGAGTAACTGCCCTCAGCAAAATGAGTAATCAGAGTGAGTCCACCTTTGGCTCATCTTGTGCTGGGGCCTGGCTGGAAGGTGTCACAGGAGGGCTCCTTTTGGAGGGGGTCCAAGCACAGGTCCTCAGCCCCTTCGTCCCCTGTCTCAGAGGAAGACGTGCTGCTCCTCCCTCCAGGGACACCTCCAGGAATCATCTGCATGGTCCCCCTTCCTGCCGGACATGGATCTACCCGCTTCATTCGTTCGTTCTTCTTGACCATTTGCCACCACCATGTGACACCGGCATACGTGCTTCCCGCTGACAGGCACCTGCCTCGCACCTTTCCTTTCACGGTAAACTTTTCACATGGAGTCTTCTGTGGGGGTGGTGCACGGGGTTGCTCTCACCTGAGGTCCAGATGGCAAGTGGACCCTACCCTCTCTCCTGCTGCCTGGGACGCACACTCCCAGCCTCGCCACTGCGGCCACCTGAGGTGGCGCGTGCTTGCTATCCTCGGTCTCCGCCCCGCTGCCACGTCATCCACCTCAACCGCATTTCTCAGACGTCTGCAGCACATGCAGCTCCTACCCTCTCCTCTTCTCACATCTGTCTCCCGGGGTCAACAGGAAGCTTTGAATCAAGAAACCCTGTGACCCCTGCAGTTCCTCTCAGACTTCTGTGGCACCCCGGCCGTTGCCTTCCTAAGCAGGGCTTTCTCAGAAACACCTTCCTCTCCTGGTTTTCGGTTTCTTTGATTTTCCTCCACCTGCTCCTGCTTCATCTTACCATACACTCATGGCCAGACTTCCCAATTCTGGGCCCTCCTTCATTCCTGCTTTACGCCTCATTCCAAAGCATTCCATTCTCTGTTTCCACCAGTGCTGCTTCAAGGACGGAATCCAGGAAGCCACCTCCGCACCTGACCTCCCCTGGCCTCCAGAACCACCTCCCCAAACCCTGCTGAATATCATGCAGCTCCCCCAACTCAAGTGGGAAGAATGCAAGTCCCGGTTTCTCCGCCAAATATGGCCCTGCTGCTCAGCTTTCTGTACGGATTGTCAGCCTGACGCCCTGAAGTTCACCATCCTTGGGGTCCTCCCGGTCTCCCCTCTTCTCTTACTCCTCACATGTGCTGCTCTCTGCGGCCGGCCCACCTGTCTCTGGATGTTTCGTGGATCTGCCCCAGCTTTTCCATTCCCACTACTGCTCTTTTCCGTGCCCTGACCCCTTGTGTGGACTTTCACAGCAGCCTTTAGAAAATGCTGTGGGTTCCTTGCCTCTCACACAGGACAGCAGGAGCAGCACCTCAGGGCAGCCTTGGGGGCCCCAGGAGCAGCTCTCCCTCCTGTCTGGACCACGCTGTGGCATCTCCACCATGCAGGGCCCTGCCTCGGGCCCATGCCCTTCTTTCAGCTGGGTCAGGAGCTCTCTGAGGGCCAGCACGGTGTCTCGGGTGATGACGTGTCCTCGGTGGTCCTGACACGGTGTGCTGTGGGTTTCTTTATGAAAGTCAGTTGGACGGAAACGATGATTCGGGAAAACTAGCCCGGGGGGGGGGGGGGGAAAGCCTTCTATGGATGGAATTCTCCAACTGTTTTGGCAAATGCTTGTGGCGTTATAAAGAATCACATGGAAGCACAGGTTGAGAAGCCTCCGTGCCGCCTGGAGCGCGTTGGTGCCGCCCGTGTCAGAGCTGAGCTCTCCCCGACTCTGAGCGCGATCTGACCCCAGGAGGCACCTGCAGCTGGCACGATGTACCCCGTGCCAGTCCACACCCCACACCTCCACTTCACTGAGACCCGTCCTGTGAAAGCAGGGAGTCAGAAGAATTTCCCATCCATAAAAAGGAGCCGATAATCTACCTTGAAGGTGAAAATGTGAGTTTTAAAAATACATAAACTCTCTTCTTAAAACGCTAGAGCTTGGTCCTACTGCCTCACTTTGTAAATGAGGAAAATGAAGTACAGAGAGCCTGCAAGGCGCCTTCAGACTGAAACTGGAGCACCAAAGCCAGGTTTCAGAGGAGACAGACAGGCTTGGAGGTCAGGAACATACGCATTCATGTTTTACCTCGAAGTTTTACCTAAGCAAGGTAGTACCCGCTCAGATTTGTTCAAGAAGATACTGTACACCCTCAGTTTTCCAGACACCGGCTAACCTCTGGAAAGAGAAGGCGGCAGAGTCTCTGACTCTCATCTTCCTCATCTGAGTGGAAGTGCCAGTGCCGGCCTGCGGTGTTGACTGGGCGTGGGTGAACTCGTGTTTGCTGGGTGCGAGCTGCGCCCCGGCGCGAAGTGTGCGCTGGGAGCATGGAAGCTGCCGTCAAACCATGCTGTCTCCCTGCTCATGTAACACACGGGATTGTAGCCACACGCTCTCGTTTGTTTACTTTCACGGCTCTTCAGGCTTGTTCACAAGACGGTTACAAAAAACCGCAAGTTTGCTATTTTTAGGAGCCATTTGAAAACCTGGAGCTGTAAGAACATCCACAGATCTTTCACTTGAAAATGTTCAGCCAAACCTCCCTAAGTCCCAGATACTGCTACAAACTTGTCCTTGTGCTGCCAGATTTTGTCTCAAGTAACCCAAAGTTCCCCATTTTAATGGGACAGTCCTCCAAAGGTCCTTTAAGTAAGTAACTAGTCATCCTGTCACGTCTCAAGCCATGTTATGACATGCTCCCCACTAGGAACTGTGTCTTAGACAGTAAGGGAGACACTTCAATGCCACAGACTCAAAATCAGGCCTTAAACTCACTCACTCATTTCTGAGAATGTGCCTTTTCCCTGAACAATCCATTTTAGCTGTTGTATTTAATGAATTGTCATGCTTTATGTGCTGAAAGGATAAACAAAAAAAGATGTAATCATTTTAGTTCCAAAAAAATTTTTTTGCTATATTCATGGATTTATTCCACATGATCAGAGCCCAATTGATTAAAAAGAATGCTTAAGATGCAAACCCATCTGATTTCAACCTCCTTCCTTAAGAAAGAAGCTATAGTGTTGAAATGTCAAGACGACTATGATATGAGACAGAGTTTACAAGTGAAATGCAATAAACCCTCAGCTCTAGATATGCATGTGGATGATATACAGAAATCCAGCTGTTTGGGCAAGAAATGTCTGTCTCAAGGCCTCTGCCCCCTGGGATTCACAGCAGTTTCATGCTGGAAGGGATGTCTCAGAGACCATCGAATTCAGTTCTGTGACTGGGAGAAAAGAACCCTAGAAGCAGCCTGCCCAAGGTCACGGAGCAGGTTCGACCTGAGATCGGGACTAGAACCCAGGCCTGTCCAGGGGCTTTGTGACATGGCGGTGGGCGGCAGGGTGCGCCTCTCCTGGGGTCGTGCCATTGGCAGGCCCACGAATCCTGCATGAGTTGCCTGTCAAGGTAAGTAGGGGCCTAGTTAAATCAGGTCGCACTGAGCCAGGCGATGGAGATGACGTCAGGTAAGAGGGATGACAGAGACAGAGTCATGGGCGTGGGCACCCGCAAGGGTAGCGGTGAACGTGGACTTACTTTCTGGAGGGACCCTATCTTTGTGCGGGCATCCGGACAGGCTGCGGTGATGTGGGTACAGCCCAGTTACGTGGCCGGTTCCATCACACCCCGGGGTTGGACACTTGCTCTCTTTCTTTTCTGTTCTTGAGGGATCTAAAAGCGACAACAGGTGCCAAGAGAATGAATGTTTACCAGTCGAAGACAAATGTGATTATTTAACAATCTGAAGAAACCTTGCTAAAGAATGAAATAAAGCAGGTGTCAGAGGGACAGGCTGTGTGACATCAGACTTTGCTTAGGTACTTCTTTGGTTTTGGGTGACTTTTTTCAACCTTACACAGTATAATCACGAATCATAAAGTATTTTAATTGGTATTCTAAAGAAAAGAAAAGCCTACCCCTCTCTTCACTCTGATTATTTTCCCGTGTGTTACATGACAAGCTGTGTTGCTCAAAGGAATCAACGTAAATCGTGATGAGACAGTGACCTTCTTAGAGAACGAAACTCTATGCCGTCGTCATTCAGCAATTTGCCGTGAAATTCAGCCCTAGAGTGTCATCCATTCAGAAACTCTTCAGCTGAATTTCTCCCTCACTGCGTGCTCTGATCGCATACGCTAGAAGCTGCAGGATTTTCCTGGCATTGAAATTTGCTCTCTGGAGGTCAAGTGACATTGTTTCGTAGCGCATCAATTCAGCGCTTTTCTGAAAAGAAACTGAACTCTCAGAAGGCACTGTAAGCAGATGACCGAAAAGGTGGAAAGCCCACCTGACAGAGGTGACGGGTAATCAACACGTTTCAGAAGCCACGGGAGCAGCCTTTTGTTTTGGTTTCTTCGTCTGTACTTGGAACCAGAGGAAGGCTCGTAGAATGCCATGCATGCATACACAGAATTAAGAAGTAATGGGTTTCTACAGCCCTGTCGGCTTCTCTGCAAGTACCAGTCAAGGGCAAATTAGGGCAGAGGTTTGGTTAAAAAAAAATTCAGTGCTAGAGGCCAGAAATATAATGATATTGCTAGTAAAATTAATTTCTATATCCAGAATTGACTACAGTTCATAAATATGCAATATAATAACTTCAGAAAATATTTCTAAGGTAAAGCTTAGACCAAACAGTAAATCTAAGTGTGTGGAAACACTGTATTTTTAGCCAGTTTTTGAAAACCAGTTGCTCAGATCACCAACAGATGGCAACTATTATTATTTAGTCCAGAGATGCAATAAATTTTCTTTAGGGATTAATTCTTTTTGATATTTCAGTAATCAGGCCAATCATGATTGCTAGAAAATGCATGTTTTACTTTTGGTTCAGAATTCTCTTTATATGGAGAAAAAGCTGGATTTAAAAGTTTGTGAGCTCTTACGGACTTTTCATTCATTCAAGTGAACTTGAAATCGATGAAGGACTAGCAGAGTAGACAAATGCTATCACGTTCATATAAAGAGCACTCCCCTTTTCCTCCTTAGCTGACCTCTCATTCTGCATCATGTGCCTCTCACGTGCTGGAAACTCTTAAGCCAGTACTGGTGTTGAAGGAAATACCATTTGTACAATCGTCAGCTACTTTCCTACCATTATTTATCAAGAAGAACCTTTGAGAACAAATCTAAAATTATGTGGTTGTGGCTTTAATTTCTAATTAGATTACTGGAACTTCTCTTACACATGCAAACAAAAATGCCTAGCACTTCATTCCTTTTCAATAATTTCCCAATAATGTTGGTATAAATTACTGTAAACATAAATCACCATAAAGTAGTAAGTGCACAATAACAGTTTCAAAAGAAACACTGACAATCAAAAATCATAAACTAGAGATAAGAGATTTTAAACTAGATGTAAATGGCTAGTGACCGGTGCAAAAAAGTGTAAGGTGTATCTATTATTCATCCTTAAGTGGCTCTATTCTATCACGACACTTATGATTTCCTAACAAAATATATCACTTCACAGATTTCGAAAGTTCTGGGAAATTAAGTAGGGATTTGCATGAAAACGAATGTGGCTCCAAAGCATTCCCGGTTTTAGAAGACAGCAAGGGTATACTCTCCTCTCGATGCATGAGGTCCTGGCTGAGGTGGGGTCATGCTATTTGCCATCACCATTAGCTCCCCTTGCTCTCTTGCTTCTTGTAATCTCAAAAGCAAACATAGAAGCAAACACAAAATAACCAAGCAAGCAAAGGAACCAGCAATTTAACCAAACGCCTTGCAACAACTTACAGAAAAAAAAGTGTGCTGTTTAGCTTGCGCCCTTCACTCGTAGAGCAGGCTGCTGGGTAGAAGACAGAGGAGTTCCATGATCCAGGCCTCTGCATTAGCTCAAGATTTTGGAACTGTGACTCATCGATAATTTAAATCGGTGGGAGGAGATTGTGTAGAAATGAGAATACAAGTGTGCTCTCCATTTTTAATAAAATAACAGTGTCTGAAAATAGAGCCTGCTGACACGCTAGTGGAGGCAGGGATTTTCTGTTGACTGTGTTGCTGAGACAGTGTCACAGTGTTTGTAAGGGAGCCTCTCTGCTCCACTTTGTCGGCCTTGCTTGGCTGTATGTATTTTGTTCTGGATATAACTACAGACATCTACGAAGGACATTTGGAATAATGTGGAAAACACTGATAGGCATGGAAGTGAGCTTTGGTCAGAGGGAGAAGACCTGGAACAGCTGGGAGAGACATAAGTCAATGCCTTCCGCTTACCGGAAAGTCAAAATCCGCAACATCTCCTCACTTCAGGGAAAAAGCATGTCTCAGTTCTTACTGTTCATTCCCACCCGACCCCATTTATACAGGGGAAGCAAGCAGTTTGATTTTCATTTTCTTGCAAACGAAACAAAACAAGAACAAAACAAAACGAGTTAAAATTTGCATAAAGCCACTGAGTGTAAAGGGACCAAGAAACTCAAGAAGCCACTGCAACAGAGAATTTGCAAAGCTAAATCAGCCTTCTCCTTTACACAGCGTATCCCTACCTTGCTTGATGCCAAAACTCCATCCTAAAATCTATCATCCGGGATTCTGAAACACAAGCCTAAAATACATTTGTCCAACTGAGCAATCACATGAGAAGAAGACACTTTTTCTTCCCCCAAAATAAAAATGTTTCATTCCTGGATGATTCTCAACACTTTAACTTAAAATTTCTAATAGATAATTTTAGCCCATCTTGTTAACAATGGTAGCACTGTAATTTTAAACATTTGTGCTATGTTTCATAGTCTTTAAAATGCCCAAACCAGGCCCGAAGTTTTACTGAGCTACAGTCTACTAATTCTCTTTCCTTTAAAAAAAACAACCGCTTCGCTACATAATGACACTAGAAGGGGCAAGTCTTCACCTTGCTGCTGAAATGCTGCCTATACCCGGCGCCTGCTGAGAGCCCCTGAGCCTCTGGCTAAGGTACCCCTACAGTTTGCGTTTGGCTGTGGTGATGCCCAGCTTGCACCAGAAGGTAGATGCACACATTGAGAGGAGAATACACACCCATGCCACAGTGGAAAAAAGATGCAGTTTTTCTGATTGTTTGAAGTTTATATAGCAACTGATTTTCAAGTAAATTCCTGAACCTCACAATAGTGAGGGAACTCAGGATTCGTCAAGAATAGAATAGAATGAAAAACAGAAAAGGATCTTTTGGGTACTAACATAGAAGGATTTCATGAACTGTCAGTTTTATTATTTAAATTCCTTCTCACTGAATTGTAAAAGAACATTGTGATGGAGATATTCACAAAGCTGAGGTTCTGCATGAGGCCGATTAGAGCATGCCTCATATGGAAAGTGGACACCACCCCTTACAAACGTGAAAACCGTCATTCAGGTTGGAGATACATATATACATGATCTACTTACAAACATATAGTATACATATATATATGTAATGATAGCTAAATACATTGACACATGCAAACATGTGCCCACATACTTCATAAAAGAAAACTCAGCTAAAACTATCATATGGGATAGTTTTTGAGTGTTCTATAAAATTAATATTTGAGAAAGGCACCGTAAACTGTTTCCACAGTGGAATGGAATCAGTGAGGGGAATGAATGTCCTAAAGAAATTGCTATTGATCTTAGCTGAGGCCATATCATGCCTTGCATAGCAAGTGGTTTCCATTACCTTCCTATCTGAAGATAATTAATGTGCAGTCACTGCCCTTATCTTATGTTATCGGTCATTCGGTTAGTGTTCAATTTCTATCAGGGGTGTTTTCTATGAGGGCAGTTTCATCAATAACTGTCACTCGATGATAATTTTATAAATCATGATGCCACCTACCCAATCCCATTTATTAAATATGTGCTTTATCTCGGATTGACTAATTGTTACATAAACCCTTGCCACTCAGCATAGATTGTGGTTCATGTACAACCGCACAGGCTTGCCCTAATATTGCTATCACGTGATGTGCCTGTGCTTTAACCCTGTCTTCCCAAGGAATGCATTCCCACTGAAATATCCTATTAGTCATCTGCTCTAATAATATGACATTGAGCTGCTTTATGTATTTCTCAGACAAATATTTTATTTGCTCTTCAGAAACATCATCACAAGATATCCTTCTGGAATCAACTCTAAGAATGTGCAGTAGAGACATAATTCAGTGTGAGTCATCCTTTCACTGCAGGCTATCACCAACATCCTTTACCCTAGCTCACGCTTTCATGAGGCAACTTACGTTAGGTAGAAATATTACCTTTACCATAGTATGGCTTTTTGACATGGCTGTCACTGGATTTAGGCTTTCTGTCTTCCCCGGGAAGCTGTCTCGGAGACTGGTCGTCATATGACCTCATATTGTCCCTCCTCCCGGCTTCCACTGCCATCTTCTCCCTCATGGCCTTTGCTCTCTCTGTTTCCAAAGCAATGGCTTTCTCCAGCAGGGTCAGGTTGCCCTTGGTCATGTCGAACACCTCTTCGGACCTGTCCGAGGTCACAGAGGTGGCGTCGTCGTCCCGCCCGAGGCAGCCCTCCTCCTTGGCGCAGCTGGAGAAGACCCTGGAGCGCGGGCTCAGCTGCTCCTCCAGCCGCATGAGGTTCAGCATGTCCGAGTAGTTCCTGTCCGGCGTCCTCCCTGGGAAGTCCTCCTCCTGCCGGACGTGCTGGCGGATGTTCATGTTCTGCTGCGGGTTCCTCTCCTGCGGGTTGGTCTCGCTGAGCTTCCTGGCCAGGTCGAAGCACTGATTCCTCAAACACTCCAGGCTGCTCAGACACACCTCCTCGTCGCTCTCCTCCACCATCTTCTCCATCAGCCCGTTGTTCATCGGCTTCCCCAGCATGACGTAATTCATATTTCTACTGTCCTGCTGCGACATGCTGTCTGCATAGCTCCTGTCGTTCATGTTCTCCGAGAGCACGACACCGTGTCCTTGGGCTAACAATTTAAGGGAGTCCACCGTTTCTCTAACCACGTCGCTGTCTAAGTCTAAACTCAGCTCGCTCTTCCGACCCAGGTTGTCGTTCCTGTCGCTGTCGTCTTCCAGGCTGTTGGAGGTGTTGCTGTTCATCTCCGACTCCGTCCGGGCGCGGTGGGCCGCGTCCTCGGCGATCTTGCCGAGGTTCAGCAGCGACTTGGCCACCAGTTCGTCGTAATTGTCGTACTCGTCGTTGTTGTTATCGTCCTTCTCTGCGTCTTGCATTATTCGAGTATTGTGACAATTCATTTGATGGTCTTCTGCAAGGAAAATAAAAAAGACAAAAAAGAAAAGAAAAGGAAACAGTGGCTAGACCTGGAAGTTTAGTTGCAACAGCATGGACAGCACGTTAACTGCAAGTCACAGTCTATCACCTCACGGAATCGTGAGTCCCATCCGCGGCCGGGCTGAGAGAGTCAACAGGAAGAACACGGATGTCGCCAAAAAACAGGAGGCCCTCTATAATCTCTGTGGTTATTGTTAATTTCTTTAGTTGATCTTAAGATAAACCAGTCAATGCGGCAAATATGACTTTAAAATATTAATTTTGTACTTTGCGCCCACTTTCAGAATGACTTATTTCCTCCATGGGCTTGCTTTATCTACAGCCTCGCCAGATGCGTGTGAACGGCCCTCCTCACATCACCAGGCTCTCTCAGAGTTCATGAACTTGACTTGTTACCAACTCTGAAGCAGATGTTTGCAGCAATTGCTTTTAAATGGCCGATTCTCACAGCGGCACGCAGGCGACCCAGCGGCCGGCTCAGGTTCCTGAGGACTCAGGCAGGGGTGCCGCCCGCTTTGGGAGCTCAGAAACACACGCATGTGGCGGGGCTGAAATAAGAGTTCTTTGGAATCCAATATCTCCGAGACAATTTATTATGATACACAGTGAAGCAACAGAAATTCCACAGTAAAGGTTTAGAAAGTAAATCGGATTCCTCTATCTGTGTCTCCACAGGTTTGAAAGTGAGAGGAAAAAGCGTGCAGTGGCCAAAGGCCTGTGAAAGGTGGGGTTGGGGACAGCTGGCACATTCCTGCACAGCATTTGACTGGACAGGCAGACCCGGCCGGTTTACCCATCCCACAGCCTCAGGAAAAGCTTGGTGAGTGGGTATACTGTGTGAGGAAGTATCATGCTTAATCTCAAAAAAGTATTTAGAAAAACTCTTTTAAAAAGACCATGTTAAAAATTACATTAAAACCCCTATGTTTTATCTCAAATATATTCTGTTTCACACTCAAAGAGCGTTTGGGATTTGTACCTCTAACTGCTATGCTGTCATGGCGTTCATGTACATTGCATAATATAAGTAATAACAAAAGGGTTCCTAAATGTATCTGTGTTCTTAGATTCGATTTGGCTAACTGCATGCCATTTTTGCATTTATTCTTTGTTTTTATTATTTAAAATCCAGAGTAAGAAGAATGTTTAAAGTTTATCAATGATTTAAAGACATGACGTATATTGACTACGACAAAATATCAGCACACTAAAAGCTGAGATGTGGGGCCTCTCGTGTTTTCTCTATGGGTTTTATGCAGAAAAGCCTTTCGTTAGTGAAAAAAGACTTGGAGTTCAATATATCAATAACAGAAAATAATATCCTGGTTATCCCACACTGAAGTAAGAAATATTGAAGATCGGACACACCTTTCTAAACTTCAGCAAATCAAATTTACCTTTTATTAGACATAGAGCATCACTAATTGTGTGAAACAAATATTGCCCTTCTTCTGGATAATTCCTATAAATCGTCTTCTTTATTATGAAGATAAAAGTATTCCCCAAGAGCAGTGCAAAGAAAGAAAATCAAACTAGTGAATTCAATCAGAAACACTGTGGAAGTATTAATCTCCAACGTACACCTTGTCATTGCCTAGTGTTTGAGCTTTAGGAATTGAAGTCAATCCTGTTTTAATGAATATTTGGAAATATAAAAGTTATATTCTCCTCTCAATTTATGCACTTTGTTATATTCATGGACTGTAATTAGAGAAGTTTCCTTAGAATAACCAAGCTGTGTTACCTCTGCACAATAACCCTGGCGAGTTTTAACAGCCAGAATCACTCTGTCTATGAAGACCCAACTATGAGATGAATAGGTTATGATTTAAAACCAAAAAAGCACAGGCAACATGTGGAAGTATTTTGAAAGCTGAGTCAAAGAAGAAACCACAGTCAAGTAAGACACTATTTTCATGATGTCCTCCTAAATTTCTTTTATGGAACTCATCATGTGGTCCTGAAGAATTTGAAAAAGCAGCAAGACCTTGAACAGGTGAACAAGAAAAGAAGAAGCCTGTCTAATCCTCTTTGCTGGTTCTGAAGCCACAAAATCCTGCAGGTGGAACAGAACACTGGCTCACGTCTTACCACCTTCTTCACCTCCCTACAAATGTGCTATGTACAAAACTGATAATTCTCCACATCCCAAATCTCGGGATTATCTTCAATGAGTTCCCCTCTCCATTCTCCCTTCTGCAGCACAGAATTCAGGAGAACATCTTGCCTTTCTGATAATCAGACATTTATCTGTTTCTCCACTCAATTCATGTTACCTTCCCTGAACAAAATTAAAACAAAAAAGGACAAGTTTCACACAGGATCACAGCCGAGCTGATGGTTGAAGCTGAGAACAGCCAAGCAGAAAGCCCCTGCACCGTCTGGAGACCGGCAGAATGTGGCCACCTGCAATGCATCGCCAGCTTGATACTCTAAGCACGTAGCACAGTGAGGGCACAGCTTGTCCTCAAACCAGATTGAGAAGGAGTTAGGAGTTCTGCAGCCTGGCGCCCATCATGGCTTGGTTGCTTTCTAATTGTGTGATGCTGGTGACTCAAGCCTCCAAGCCTTAATCAGCTCTGTGGGGACAGTAAAACCTCCTGGCCTTTCTTCAGATCTCCTACAAGAACCACGGCACAGAATATGCCTCCTAAAGAGCGCGGTTTGCTGTCTTATCATTGGCCCCAGAGCCGACTCCTGGGAAGGCAGCCTATTGGTAGAAGAACCCTGGAACCAGGCAGCGGAAAGTATATTGGCGTCTGAACACACAGCCTGCCGTGAGCTTCCACCCTTCTTCAAAGTTCCTCATGCTCAGTGTCAAGTGAGTCTCTCCTGGCAGCAGCAAACGTGGGGGCAACTGGTGAAGATGGCATGAGTGGCCCCAAAGCCTGGCAGGTGAATGGAATTTCTCCAGTTACTGGTATTTAACACTTTCAAAACATATGCGAAATAAAGTCAACTCCTAATTACGTGGGCTCATGGCGGGGAACAGCCAGTCAGTCCATCAACAAGCAGGCTCTGAATCTCTGCTGGGCATCATCAGCCTCATCTGGAATTCAACATGGTTCATGGTGAGCTTTTGGGATTCCCCCCCGCCCCAGGTTCTACATACTCGCTTCCAGGTATGCTTTTCTGAGGCTAATAATAAAATTAGTCACAGGATGGGATGGGCTTTGGGAACTAGATCAGAATTTTCTGTGCCAGTCTGAGGTTGCAAACGTGATATAAACAATCCACAAAATGAACATCCCAACCTCAAAATTCAGGAGTCCATTTTACTAGGTTTTTTTTTTTTTTTTTTTCCCCGAGATGGAGTCTCATGCCAGAGTCTTGCTCCATCACCCAGGCTGGAGTGTAGTGGTGCAATCTCAGCTCACTTTAACCTCTGCCTCCAGGGTTCAAGCAATTTTCATGCTTCAGCTGCCAAGTAGCTGGGATTACAGGCACACACCACCATGTGGAGACAAGGGTTTGCCATCTTGGCCAGGCTGGTCTTGAACTCCTGACCTCGACTGATCCTCCTGCCTCAGTCTCCCAAAGTGCTGTGATTACAGGCATGAGCCACCGTGCCCAGCCTCCCTTTTACCAGTTTCTATGTAGTGACTACTGTTCTATCAAATAGGGAGGATGTGTGTGTGATAAAAGAGCAATTTATCAGGAAATTATTTTAAAGAACAAGTTTATGTTAGAAATAAAGGCACGTATTTAGATGGAGGTTTAAAGAGAAGAACAATGCATTCTCAGCTTCCTTTTTTGTGGTTTTATATTTTAAATCTGTTACCCAGCAAAGCTGCACGGCAACAGACTCTGGGCAGGCGCCTCCTCTCAGCGGGGGCCAGCCCGGGGCTGCCCACAGGGTAGACTCAGAGTGACCGCACTGGCACAGAAATTAGAGAAGAGCTGGCCCAACCACTCCAGGTGAGAAAACTGAGCTCAGGAAACAGCCCATTCAGCGGCTGAGCTCACGAGGCCTTTGTCCTTCCCATGAGCCAATCATTCTACAAACCTGACTTGGGTTGCATTCCATGAGATTTCAACTCCCCCGTGAGTGAGCGTTATGAAACGTTTCAGGGCTGAATTTTATCTCCTTCGAGTCAGATTGTTATAGAGAATTTATGCTCCGTAGTTACATTCAGAAAACGAAAACATCTCAGACAAAAGAAATGTGGTTGCTGTGGGATGTTTATCCTCCACCCTCCTGGCTAGAGTCTGGGAGAGTTAGAACCCTGTGGATTACAGCTTTAGAGTAACCCACAGGACACAGCGATTGAGTCCTTCAACATCTAGTGCTGACCGAGTTACTGCTGTTTCTGGTCACCGACAAAGGCCCCAGGCAAGCAACTGTACTACTGACTGGAACGCGCAGAAGAGCGAGCGCAGGAGGGAGCTGTGTCCCAAAGCGAACATCACCCCAGACCTCCCGGGGCAGAGGAGACGGCCTGCCAGTGCATTCCAGTGCGTTTCGAATAATGATGGCCCACTGCTTTCTATGGCATTACAGAGGTGGTGCTTTGTTACATAAATAAATCAATATCAAAATACATTTTGACTTGTAAATACAGAAATATGGCAATGTACACATTCTAATGAAAAGATGACGGTGTTTTAATAGCTACTGCAATGATAAGGAAGAAAAGGCCACATGAACAACCTATGTATTTCCTTCTGTTTGTTTGAGACAGGGTCTGGTCCCGTTGCCCAGGCTGGAGTGCAGGGTCACAATCACAGCTCACTGCAGCCTCAACCTCCCGGGCTCAGGTGATCCTCCCGCCTCAGCTTTTGAGTAGCTGGGACTACATCACTATGCCTGGCTAAATATTGTATTCTTTTGGTAGAGACAGAGGCTCACTATGTTGTCCAGGCTGGTCTCAAAGCAATCTGCCTGCCTCAGCCTCCCAAAGTGCTAGAATGACAGGTGTGAGCCGCCTCTGCACCTGGACATATGTGTTCCATAGACCATATCCTCCTGTGCAG